GTCCGCGAGCACCACGTATAACTCCGCCAATGCTTTGGTGGGGAACATTATTGCCCTGAGAACCGCGAAAGCTGCGAAGCTGAAATTTTAAGACCCAGGAAATTTTTATTCAGCCCCCTTTCCTTCGTATACGCAGGTTTCATGTACAGTCCAGGGAAGTTTTGGCGGGAAAAATTGTTTCGGGAACCACAAGAGCGAGGAGGCTGAAATTTTCCGAAAATTTTGGCGGGTAAACTATTATCTCGGGAACCACAAAATCTACGAAACTGGAATTTTAAGATAATGACCCCTTGTACGACCTCGAAAATTCAAATTCAGTGCTCCCGTACTCTCAGGTGTCGCTTACGGCCCCGTAGAAATTTTGACCGGTAAATTATTACCTCGGGAGGCTGAAATTTTAGGGCAGTGACCTCCTGCCTATGTACGACCTTGCAGATTCAAATGCAACGTTCTTGCGCTGTCAGGCATCAGCTACGGCCCCGGTGAAAATTTTGGCAGAGAATTTATTTCCTCAGAAACCATAAAAGCCAAGAAGGTACCGTTTTGCAGTAGTACCGGTGCGTGAGATTTCATGTGTCGGTGCGTGAAATTTTTAACTATTTTTCAACGTTTTAACTATTTTTGCACGGATTAAAGTACAAAGCAGTGAAAATCGTTAAGAGGCAATCGTTTGGTGAACGAAGTGCACAAAACGCATAATCATCTGGTGCGCGTTGCTATTTATTTTTTGTTGCAAGCATCTCTTCGCGCCACTAGTATCCTTTGATCTTTCTATGATTATAAACGGAGTTGCAGCCACTTCGTATTCGGAGTTTGTTGCTTGTAATCCACCTACTTTTTCCCGTCTTTTTTGAACAAGTGTATTAGTACCCCCATACAACCGCTCTCGCCCTAGAAGGGATTGTATCAAGAATGCATGTGAACTGCCGGACACTGAGATGTCTAAATGAGACGACTGCGTGATTGTCTGTTAAGTTCATATCATCAAGCTGATTATGCGTTTTTGCTTATATGCAAATGCAAAAACGCATATTGTGACAACCCTGGTATGTATGTGTGTTTGTACGTGTGTGTGTGTGCGTGCGTGTGTGTGCGTGTGTTTGTGTGTGTGTATGTGTGTGTCTGTGTTTGTGTGCATGTCTGTCCGGATATTTCAACTCACGCCCAAGCAAGTTCCGGCGCCAAAATTTTGTCAGTGGGCTCCCTGGCCAAGTGCCACCTCAGGACCGCGGTACCAACCCTCACGCAAGTCTGGCCCCCGCGCACGAGGGCGTGGAAGTTTTGGCGGGAAAATCGCTAACTTGGGAATCGGAAAAGCTAGAAAGCTGAAACTTTGTGGTTACATCCCCCGTCCACAGAGAACTCAAAGATTTCAAATTCAGCCCTCAAGTGTGCGTAGTTCCCGTGAGGGTTCCTGGCGCGAAAATCGCTAGCTCAGGTACCAATAAAGTTGGAGGGCTAAATTTTCAGGGAGTGTTCCCAGCACAAATGTAACTTAAAATTATCAAAGTCAGACCCTCAGTGTATGTGGTGCTCACGTATGGTTTCATAAAATTTTTTGACGGAAAAATGACTAGCTTGGGAAAGCTAGGAGGCTGAAATTTTCCAGGGATGTTCCCAGCACATGTACAACTTAATGTTATTGAATTCAACCTCTCGGTGTGCGTGGTTTTCATGTAAGGCCCCACGGAAGTTTTTGGCGGGAAAATGGCTAATTCGGGAGGCGGGAAAGCTGGGAGGCTGAAATTTTCAGAGAATGTCCCCTGTTCAAGTACAACATAGACAATTCCCGAAATTGGAGGATCAGTGTGTCACATATTTCTAGCTACTGGGTTTCCGAGCGATCTCATTACAGCACGAAGCACTGAAAAAACGCATGATCGTACGAGACCGCCCGGTGTGCGTCGTCAGTGATTTTCATGTGCAATTATTG